AATTTGTGCAATTTTTCTTCTCAGGTAAAAAAATAAATAATTTTGATTGGTTATTTGTCTGTTCCTCACCCTTGCTCTGTGGCCTGTGCACATTCCTGACAGGGTCCGGATGGCAGCCAGAATCATCTCAGGTTTTCCTGTGTCAATCAGCTGCACAAGTAAAGGCACACCGTTTTCCTGGAATATTCTCTCTGCTCCTGCATCCTCTCTGGCCAGGACAATCAGGTTGTTGGCAGCCTAGTGGACCCAACAAACATGTTGTTCAGTTTAACTGAGAGATATGTTACTGCAAATTACATTAATATAGATTTGCTTTACTGTTTTTAAGCTAAAAGGGAACAGAGTTCTAGGAACCTTTTCTCTCTTTTCCTTATCTGATTCATCTGAAAATAGGATGTCAAACATGTTCTGCACTCTGGAGTCAGTAGAGAAGGTCGTTTTCAGCTGTGGGGAAAATCAGATATGCTCCTTAGAAACTCAGATGTTCGTTACGTGAACTCAAAAGCATTTTGACAGAAGCGATCCTCACCTTCTGTTGGATCTCAGCTCCGAGTCTTCTGAGGGTCTCGAGGAAGGTCTTGTTTTTAGGCTCAATGGTTGCACATCTCTGAACGTCCTTAAAGGCCATGTCCAGTTTGCCAAGCTTCTCGAGTGCTTGGCATCTTCTGTACAGAGCCTTGATGTCCGCAGCATCCACGTCAATTGCTGCAATTGACAGATCAGCATTCATCAGTCATTTTTTAATGGACCAAGAGAAACATGTTTAAGATGTTTGATGGTATACTTGAAAAATCTGAGCTGAAAAAAAAAGAAAAAAAAGAAGGAGGAATAATTAATTTGCAAATCATACCTTTAGTGGCGTCTGATGCTGCATTGTTATAATTTTCCTGGAAACCAAGACATCAAATGAAAATCATGCAGAAATATTTGATGGCGCATTCAAGTCATGTCGGAAAGATCGTATTTATGAGTTGAATGCCACCAAAAAGTCTGGATTTTATTTTAACCCCGGTCTTTATGAGTTGGGTGCGTGTCAGTGAGAAACATGGCGGAATACCACGCACAATACTTATAGGTAGCCTATTTAACAGTGACATTGTCAGGATTTTTATTTACAACAAAATAAGCTAATATAACAATATAATATGCAACGATAGAGTTGATACAGTGGCTTCCTAAATAAATATTAAATTTTTTTTTAAAACACACCTGTAGCACATTCTTTGTTCTTAATTTTCTAGAGGTAGAGTTTTAAAAAAGTGCTATATTTTTGTGTAGTTAATTAAAAGGAGAGTTCTCCCAAAGGTTTAAATTCTGTCATCATTTACTCACCCTCATGAGCGGAGACTTTCATTCATCTTCGGAACCCAAATGAAGATCTTTTTGATTAAATCAGAGAGCTTTCTGTCCCTCCATTGACAGCTACACAACTGACACTTTGACACATCGAAACGTTCATAAAGAGATCGTAAAACTAATCCATATGAATTTAGTGGTTTGGTCCAAATTTTCTGAAGAGACTCGATCGCTTTATATGATGAACAGATTTAAATTAGTCTTTTATTCACATATAAACATTGATCGGCGAACATAAACAGAAGCTCAACCGAACCTGCTAGATGCACAAGAACAAATCTCTTGCGGAAGCTCAAACGTGCTGCGTAACATGAGAATGAACATCATTGGTTCTTGCTGAAGCTCAAACGTGCTGCGTAACATGAGAATGAACATCATTGGTTCTTGCTGAAGCTCAAACGTGCTGCGTAACATGAGAATGAACATCATTGGTTCACACACGTCAAGCGAACATGCGTGAGCTTCCGTTTACCAGATCTAATGTGTGAGTTAATGAATGTTTATATGTGAATAAAAGCCTAAATTCAATTGGAACGACATGAGGGTGAGTAATTAATGACAGAATTCTCTTTTGTTTGGTAAACAAACCCTATAAGAGAAGGTACACCAATATTTTGCTCCGACGAAAGTGACTTGAACGCACCTGACGTGTTAAACAAAACTTCCCAAATCAGAAATACGAACTTCCCATGAGGAATTAAATGCACTACTAGGCTCATAATGTGTACAGGATGTAAACTCTTACCTTTTTCAGGAAACAGGCTGATCTGTTCCTGTAGATGACCGCTAGCATTTTCTTGTCTTTGCAGACCTTTATGGCTTTAGTGTAGCTCTCAATGGCTTTGTCGATTTCTCCAGCCTGGAAGTGCTTGTTACCCTCGTCCTTTAACTGGACTTGATCTTCAATTTCTCCCATCTATCAGAGAACGTTACAATTTAGAAGGTTGCATATTGTAGCATATCCAACCCTTTTTCTGTATACAGTCAAATTCACGTAAGTGTTACATTTGATAGAACTTTCAGACAAAATACTTGCACACAACGTTAAAAATAGCAGCATTCGTCTTAAAAAAATTCAATTATTAATATTATTATCATATATATACTGTATATATTTTCAAATATATAAAAAATATGTAACATATACATTAATTATGTTGTGTATGAGATTTCTTTGTGTAGAGGAGATTTCTGAAAAAACACATTTTGAGAAAAAAAAGATATGTACAAGATATGTATTGTAATTCAAATCTACAGACACACATTTAAATAGATAAAGTGCAAAAGAAAATAAATAAAAACAAACACTTAAAAGTGTATTTTGAAAGTTTTCTTTCCACTAGTCTGAAAACACACATGAAAAGGCAAATAGCCCAAAATCTCAAAATTGCCATGTTTTTTGCCTTTAGTGCCTTGTCTTAATTACAAACCTTTAATTCAAACACATTCCTTGTAACATTTAAATTTCACACATGAAAACATGTTCAAACTTACCATTTAGGTGCCAATTTTCTCAAACAAGTGGTCAAGCACATGTTATCTCTGACTTCAACTGTCTGACCCTCAAGCCTTATTTGGGCAACAGTGTGGCCTCATAAGAGATCCTACCTCAACAATACTGAACGCAGTGAATGCAACTTCTGTTTTCTATAAATTAGACATATTCCCCATTCTGTCTCCTATGACTGCAGATTATGAATGTGATTATAGTTACGTACCGTCATTGAAGTGAATTCTGCTTCGTCGTGAGAGGAAAATCTGTTCTGTGTCAAAGTGTAGTTTCTTGTCTTTTGGGTTTATCAGTTGTAACGCCCCCCTAACGGTCTCTTATATATATATCTAGATATGTTGCACATGGGGGGCACATACCAGGATAACGGATGGATCCATTTCATTTTGAGGGGTGGACCGGTCTTCATCCACCCGACCTGGTGATACAAATGCATTGTGCATCTTATCAGTCACAACCTGAGATTACATCTTTCATGGTTCTTCCCTATTCCACATCATGCTGTCATTTACTCATGTTATGGTGGATTCATTTTAATTTGCAGATATGTGGTCACCCCTTATATCAGTGAAGTGGCCTGTCTCTGATATGGTCTATTTAGGGAGAGGGTATGACAGCTGAGAAATCAGTAGCAAATGTCCAGAGCCACCCGATGGGAGGGGGGAGGGAGGTGGTGTCTCAGAACAGCTGGTGTGCTGGAGGTCTGACTGGTACTTTCTAGAATGGAAGGACTCTCCAACAGAAAGAACTGGGGGAAGGTGTTACGCTCATAACAAAACATCCTGCAACCTGGCGAGGAACACTATTGTGGGATGTATTTATAGGGTCAGGACATGCCCTTTGTAAACGTGCTGACTGACAACTTCTTAACAAATATTTTAGGTTTTAATTAATATAAGTTTGATTAAACCAACAAATTATAAGAAATGTTTTTTTGATTTTTTTTAAAATATTTAAATCGGAAGGAAGAACAAAACACTTAACTTGGTGGTATTTATCTGAGAAAATTATTTGGCAAACTACAGGTTTTATTTTACTATGCCAAAAAAAAGAAAAAAGAAAACAAAAATCTCAACATAATATAATATTTCGTTGGTTCTCTCCTGATTTTGCTTGTGTTCTTCATCATTTCTTTGTATGCCAGCCAGGCAAAAAATGATGTCCACACAATTTGGCATATTTAATTTGATTACAAAATCTTTAAAAAACTATTTATAACATTTGAAAAAAAGGGAGAATATATATATATATATAGAATTTGTTTGTTTTAAATAACATTAAAAAGACATTAAATCACTATACATGTCCTGTTGTCACCATGTATACTGTACATTCAGCCTTAGTAAAGAATGAGACTTCTTTCATAAACATTAAAAAGTCTTATACGACTTCAAACTTCTGAACGATAGTGTATGTTGCACATTTTACAACATAATTTAATGGAAGTGAAATGTATACATATTTGGCGAAATGGAAAGGGTGTTTATTTTACTCATTGTTAGATTTTCCTGTATTTGGGTGGCTTGCCAATAGATTTCTCTAATGCATAAGCTTGATCAGAGCTCTTGTGCGTAGAAGAATTTATTGAAGGTAGTGGTGTAGCAGGTCTTCAGCAGCGATGTCAGCGTGTCGGCCTTCAAAAAATCTTAACCCAGAGTTCTGACTGTGGAACAAAACTTTAGACCTACAGCTAATTTGCATAGAAAGGAGATCACAGGGACATCCTGAGGGAAACACAGCATCACAGAAAGAACTTTCCCACAAACACCCTGGGAATAACCTAACCAATGAATGTGTTTTATGATATATACAAAATGCATCAGGCTAAACACATAATCTTTCAATTATTGCCCAATGAAAATTCAATTAAGTTCGGTATCCAACATCCAACACTGTAAATCGACCAAGTGAAAATGGTTATCGGCACGTCCTGATAATCTCAAAACGGCCAAATATTGGTCACCATGAAATTCAGACCAACACAATGTTAATTTATAATAATGATTTAATAAATTATGGCCTCAAAACAAACAAAGGTGCAATAATAATATTCAAAAGACAGTTCTGACATGGCATTTAAAATCAGAAGCGCACTAGCAGAACATCAAGCAATCATTTGGACGACTCTAGGAAAAGGATCTCCTGAGAGAATGTATATGCGTGTATGAAACTCACCCAATCCCCACATGAAAGATTGACTCCTAATCTGCATTTAAGCACATAAAAACATTCTGGCATCTGGATAGATGTAAATGATACACACTGCTGATGCGAGTCCCACTCTTGATTATCAGGAGCTTATGTACCAGCATAAATCTGAGAATGACTGAAGTTTCACTCCTACATTTACAGTACGTCACACATATGTGCTCATAAGAGATGTCTGAGAACTAAAGTCACACTTCCATTGTTTCCTAGAAACTGTGTGTTTCCTTGGAAATAAAACATCAGGATTATTACTCCAGTGAGGAGAACTACCATAACACACACTTGTATAATGTATGAAAAATTGCACATTTAAAAATATCTGAACAGGTCTGTTAGCTAGAGTTTGAATCGCCAAGCATTGCATCTAGACACTAAAGACTAGATCCTTTAAGAGGTAAAGAGGATAGCTGTTAGAAACCATCTTTGCATATCAGAGGAGTGTATTTATTGCATGTCTATGAAACAACGAATGACGTCACGTCACGTCTGTCTTCAGTCTCTGACCCCAGAGCTGCCTTTAATGTAAGAATCTGTGGAGTTCTTTCGCTGCTGGGAAGCTCAGGGCTACAAAAGCACAGTCTGCCTTTGGTTGCATGTCCATCTTATAGCCACAGTCCCTTCAAACAGTCCAAGGAAATGTACAAATGTCTTTTTTGTAGTTGTTGTATTGGCGAAAATCAGCACAATGACTTCTTTTATTTGTTTGGCAGCAGGGGGCGCTCTTGGCACAAGAGGATCCAGAGGTGATGGGGAGGGGAGAGATGAAGAAACCTCTCATTTTGCTCCTCACTGGAAAGATGATCAACAATATGATCAAAGTTTATAACAGTTATTAGAAAGTTTATGATCAATAAAGTTTATGATCAAAGTTATTAGTGGCAGTATAACTTTCAAAATATATATACTTTTTTTTAAGTAATAATAAAAGATAATGTTGTAATATAATATAAATAATTATAATTAATCTGATATTTATACATTTATTTCAACTATTGAAATAATTTATAGATATTTATAAATATCATCAATTTCTGAATTTTTTTATTCATATTACAAAAGTTTTTATTTGTTAATTTATTATTATTATTATTATAAAATACTGGAAAGATGATCAACAACATGATAAAAGTTTATAGCAGTTATTAGTGGCAGTATCAATTTCCTAATATATTTTTAAAAAGTTGTTGTATAACATATTTAACATAACATAATCATAATAATTAATTTGATATTTATAAATGTATAATATAAGAATTCAATACAATATTTAAATTATTATATAGAAATATTATTACATATAAAATGTATACTATTTATTATATAACAATTAAAATACATACATATTTGTTTATTTATTATTACTATCAACAAACTCACTGGAAATAATCTAAAATTCATAATATATTTAAAATATATTTTTTAAATAGTGACAAAAACTTTTTAAATAGGCTATAATATAAATAATTATAATAATCAATCTGATATTTATACATTTTTAGAATAGAATATAATAATTGCACACACACAAACGTTTCAATTAATATATTATAATAATTTAAAACATTTATAAATATCAGATTAAGTTCTAAAGGTTATCATTTATATTGTAAAGTTATTCTTTGTTTACATTTTTTTATTACAATTTATAATATTGACCGACTAACCTTATCCCCTTTCTTATACTGTCTATGCTTATCCCTTGCCTTATAATGACTTGCAGAATTGAATCTGATATTTATAAAATTAAGTAAATATAACTAAGGAAAATGTTGGTGGGTCAGTATTACAAATCAGAATCAACTACCTAGACTACTTTTTATACAGTATTATGCAATAATAGATATTTTAATATAATTTTTGACAATATCATTGCAGATCTAAAGGAACTTATGCAGAGTAGATGCCATATTTTATTTGATGTGAGTGAAAACAAGGCTGTGAGGGATACAGTGGATTCTACTGAGTGTATTGTACCTTGGTACTGATAATTAAGTTAATGAAACACTGAAAATATGTATTTTAAAAAAACATTGGACAGTACAACCTATTGAACGTACTGTACTTTATTTTCAATATGACCCTGATAAAGGTCCATAGATCCCTCGAGATCCAATCAACTAACAGTAATGCAGAAACTCACAAAGTAGACATCCAGCACTGAGTCGTCATCTCTGTCTATGTCCATGGTGCTTTGCTCAGACGTCAGACAGATGGCGCTGTCCTCCAATGTAAAAGTCGAGCAGGCACATCTGAAAGGAAACAACAGCAATGAATCAGAAGAACAGTACGAAGAAGCTCAAGGACAAATTAAGAGTCCTTAAAACATGACGGATGAATATTGAGCAAAGCCGGTGGTCTCATAAATGCCAAAACTCTGTTTGCCCTGATCTGAGGGAATGCGTGTGGCCGTGCGTTAAGACAGAGACAGGGAGACGAAAATAGAAAGCATTTCAGCAGCAATATTTCTCATCATTACCATGACACATTTCATATGAGCGCTGGCCATCTACATCCACTTCGGAATGTGCTTATGTTTTTATGGCCTGCAATAATCTCTTGAGTTATTGATGCCATGGCAACCAGACCCTTGTTCACCTCATGAACGTAAAGCACTCTGCGCATGTGACACATTTCAGGGTGTTCATTAACACAGACTCACCCTGGACTTCATCAAACGTTTTCCAAGTCTAAGGTCAGTAAGACTTTTTGGGAAAGAATCGAATACTTTTATTCAGCATGCAAGGACCACTAATTAATCTATTATATTGATGAAGTCAACGAGATAACATCTGACAAAGCTCTTTTAACTCAGTAATCATTGTTCAAGCACCGAATGCCCCCTTTTGTGGTATTCTATGTCATAAAACAATACCTCTATTATATTCGTCCTTAGCAAGCAGGTGAAATATTTATGAGGCCTTTTCACAGGAATTCCACTTAAAACAGGTGTGTGTCAAAGGTGAGGAGATCAGTGAAAACCAAACACAAAGAATCGAGCAGAAGAACAAGTGTAGTGTGACAGCACCTGGTCAGTCGCTCACGCCAGCTGTAGCGGGATCAAAGAAATCCAGCTAGAAGTGTTACACTGTGGCATTGTTTGACTATATTCAGTGAGACTTAGTTAAAGGGATAGTTCATACAAAAATGCAACTTTTGTCATCATTTACTCATTCCTAACCCATATCACTTTCCTCTTGGAAGTGATTTTGAAGTATTTGTTGCTCTTTCCCATGCAATTACAACAATAATAAGGTTTTTAGTCTTCAAAAAAGACTCAAAAGTACCATAAAAGTAGTCTATACAACTTGAAATAAATCAAAAGACAAAAAATCATAATATCAAGCTCATTTACGGAAGATTGTTACAGGCATTGTTTCTGCCACAAAATAAATGGGTTCATATCTCACATCTCATCTACTGATTTTTATTTTCTAGCAATGGCCCCTATTCATAGACTGTGATGATGTGTTGCCAAAGCTATCATCGCAAATCAATTTTTTCATATTTTCATTTTTTAAATATTTATTACACATTTATAACGCTATATATCGTGCTATATTACCTTGTCAGTAAATGACATAAAACGAATTAACGCTGCTGCGAGGATGTTTCTAATAATGGCTGAGTGAGTGAAAGCGAATTTGACATCTTTCTCTCTTCCGACCAACGTACCAATCTCTCTATATTTTCTCCCTCTTTTGAAAAGTCATTGAAACTCTATCCCAGATTTTTTTCTTTTGCTATTGGAGCAAAATGTAAATATAAAAATGATATTTGCTGTCGTCTCCCGTTCACCGCTATAGAAGTTTACCCAACTATGACGACTTCCGCTTCTTAAAACCCCAGAAATGTGAAAAGAGTCAAGAATACAGTATCTCACACTTTGGACCTTTTCCCTCACAATTCTGACTTTCTAACTCACAATTTTAACTTTATTTCTCGCAATTCCGAGTTTAGATATAAAGTCAAAATTGTGATATATGTACTTATAAAGTCTGAATTGTAAGATAAAAACTCACGATTACCTTTTTTATTCCGTGACTTAAACAAGCTTTCATACTGAATAGTGTGTTCATGAGAGAACTAGCAAAGTTGTATTTGAGTAGGAATCATTCTATTGAGTCAGATCTTGTCAATGAATCAATTGATTCAATTCACAAAACCACTCTTAATGATTAGAATATGAATTGAATTGACCTGGTTCTCACTGCGGTTCAGAGACTACTGTTAAAGAGGATGGGTGAAAGCAGAACTACTTAAATTTGGTCAGTTTATCACATAAAGTTCACAATCATATGACGCCCAAGTCACACGATTACCTTTATGATACTTTTTTAGTGCTCGTTTGTCTCCTTTCTGAAGCCTGAAAGCCTTAGTCCCTATTTATTATAACTGCATGAAAAAGAGTGACTAAAATGTCTCCAGTTGTATTCCATGAAAATGTGTTAGCAAATTCTCATATTTTAGGTGAACTATTCCTTTATGTATCTCTGTGGAGGGAACAGAAGTAGAAGGAGATGTGAAGAGCTAACAGGTGTGTGTCAGGTTTATGGGTCTGAAGGTTTGTGAGATGTGTGTGAAAGGTGTCACCTTTCATTAGATCTGGCCTTCAGGTACCGATCTGTGACGAATATAGAGGGCGGGGAGAGGGTGTTTCTCAAGGAAGAGGCTTCATGTGGGTAAGGAGTCTGAGGGACCAGGTCAGGACGGTTATAGGACCAGAACACTGTGGTATGAGATGATAGAAACATCACATGAGGTGATTTCCTGAATAAATGTACAGTATATGAAAGTTACTACATTGCTGTGCATAAGTTTGGGGTCGGTAAGGTTTGTTAATGTTTTTGAAAGAAGTTTCTTATGCTTACCAATGCTTTAAAATGTAATAAAAAAACAGTGTGAAATATTATTACAATTTAAAATAACTTTTTAGTTTAATATATTTTTAAATGTAATTTATTCCTGTGATGCAAAGCTATATTTTCGCATCATTACTTCAGTTTTCAGTGTCACATGATCTATTGGAAATCATTCTAATATGCTGATTTGCTGCTCAAGAAACATTTCTTATTATCAATGTTGAAAACATTGATAATAAGAAAAAAAATCTGGATTCTTTGATGAACAGAAAGTTCAATGAACAGCATTTATTTGAAATAAAAATCGTTTGTAACATTATACGTGTCTTTACTGTCACTTTTAATCAATTTAATGGATCCTTGCTGAATAAAAAAAAAAAATAAAAAAGAGAACAAAAACTTACTGACCCCAAACTTTTGAACGGCAAGGTATTACATTTTTATTATAATTCATACCCAGCGCTGCAGCAGCTCTAAACCAGTGACATACATCAGCACAAAAAGTCAATGCAATAAGGTTTGTGTTCAGCTAGTAAATGTGAAATGAATGAGGAAGAAATGACTGTCTGGAAACGACTGTCTCGGATGGCAGCTTGTTTTTCAGGGTTTTTCCAAAATCAGACAGTTCCTGTTTATATCTGTGAACATTAATAGAACTGATGTTTGCAAGTATGTCACCATTTGTGTTTTGTAATGGGATGGTGTGCAAATTAAGGGCTTTTTACATTGCTTTTAACCCAGGGTTTCATTTAACCCCAGTGTAATGGCATTTTTTAACCCTGGCTAATGTTTCTGTCCCTAAAAATGCCAATAAGAATGCTAACCCAAGGTTTTAAAGATGTACTATAATCAGCTAATCCAGTGTAAAATATGAAAAGTGTGAAATATAAAACATCATAACCCAGGATTATGTTAATCCAGAGTTTAAATGATCCCTCGGATTGTGAAAAGCCCTTTAGCCCTTAACCCAACCTTTTTCATATAGTCAGTGCCGCCCACCTTGTCCATCCAGACTGGCAAGACTACGAGCGCCTCCAAGCCTGTCCACTCTCTCCTCGGGCTTCTCCTCCTTCTGTGGGGACAGCACCTCTTGAGAAGAACACTTCAGCGCTGATATGGAGTTACGCGCCCTCTTGCCAGGGGAGAAACGGTTTGCTGGATGTGTGACAAAGAGACTAATTATGGACACTGTCCTAAATGAACTGAAAATATGATGATATAACTCTCCCCTAACTGTTACCTGGCAGCCGACCATTAGACCGTGAAACGAAATCTCAGCTCACTGTCTAACTTTATTAGAAAGGGGAAAAATAAATCTATTGTGCTATATTATTATTGGTTATAAGAACCATATTAAGGGGGGGTGAATTACAGTTCTTGAGTAGCTGAAGGACATCTCAGAAAGAGGAAGGAGAAGTTCTTCTATTGTGTGCACTGATGTAATGTTTCAAAATATTCTTACTAATGAAAAAAAAAGGTCGGGCAAGAGCATTGGTGCAGCTTCCGTTCTTGAGTTTTGCCATTGGCAGGAAGTTATAAATGATTGATTATGATCTTTTTCAATGCACTTCTTTGAGCTGTGGCATCCATGTACATCCTTGTACAGCGACTTTCACACGCAAACAACACTCATATTTTCTTCTAGTTTGATATAAATCTTCAGAGTCAGACTTAAAATTTGTTTTTGAGATCGTTTTAGTTTTATGTATATGCTATATATACAAATTTTGGTAACACTTTACAATAAAGTTTAATTTATTACCATTAGTTAACTACAGTAGTTAACATGAACTAACAATGAAAAATATCTCTACATCATTTTTGTTTTTGCAAAATTATATTTTGAAAAAACTAAAATTAACAAAGGTTAACAAATGCTGTAAAAATATATACTCATACTTAATTCAGGTTAACTAATGCATTAACTAATGTTAACGAATGAGACCTTTTTGTAAAGTGTTACCAAACTTTCTTTTAAAAATATATGAATTTTGAAAAAATGTTTAACATGTATTATTTGAAATTAATTTGCTCGTATTGTTGACTTACGGTGAATCTTTCTGAATACACTGGTGCTCATGAACTTGAGAAATCTGTTTGCATAGAAACCCGGTCTGTGCACAGACACTGTATCCTAGGAGAAAGAGAATACATGACAATCAAACCAGGAAGCATCCTTAAATCCCCAGAGGTATGAATAGTCTATTCATAAACGAAGGGAGCAGAGAGACATAGACTTACACCATCATAGACGAGTGCCTTCCAGGAGTGCTCCAGCTTCTTCATGAATCTTGGAGGGAAATGAGAGCGAGAAGCTGCAGTGAGCTAATATGCTGTAAGCTGGTGTGTAACATGACATTTGGACTTTTGGGTTTGTTATAAACTGACACTAGACTTACCTGTAAGACTGCAAGATGTCGATAATGCCTAGAAAAATAAGTAGTTTTTCATCCCTGTGTGTTTTTGCAGGAATACCTCCCATTCTGTATAAAAAACATTGTGTTATTATATCAAATATATTATATATAAATTATATAATATAATATTTTATTTTATAACTTAAGTTATATTATATCATACTGTTATGTAAATTATGTTTATTAGTGCCTGGGGAATCTCATAAAAACACTGCAAGATCAAGACAAACCATTTCCATCCAAAATATACATAAAATAATCATAAAGAACATTAACCTAATATTTGTTTTAATCATTGTAACAAATTCTATCATCGTTGCCTTAATGCAACATTTTATTTTGTTAACTAACATGTTTTTTATTTTTTTATTTGTACTTGTCATTACTCTTAAAAAGTATTTTAATACAATATAAATTCAATTTAAGGTAATTTTTTATTTAACTATTAATAAATTAAATAATAAATTAAAGGCAGTTAAAAAATACTACAATTTATATGTATATATTTACAATAATTATTTTACATAGTCAAGTTACAATTCATTATAAATACTTCACAATATATAAAAATGAATGATTATAGATTAATTATTAATAATTACATTTTCTTCAACAAAATATAATTTTAATTATTTTCTTTTGATTTTGGGGGGAAATACAACAGTTCTTTTGTGACAATCACTGGCTACATACAAAATATTTTTACTAAAACAAAAGTATTTGCAACCAATGTGCATTATTCTCTGTCTATTCACATGACAACACATACATTTGTAATATATATGAACAGCCTAAACACTGTGTGTCAGGGACTCACGTGTCATCGGTGGTCAAAGCCTCAGCTGCCTTGCCGTCTCCCTGAATGGACTCCATGGCGGTGGAGTAAAGAACTTTCTGTCCCACGATCCTCTTCCCGTCCACATTGTTGACGTCTCCTTCTCTGTGACTCTGGTCCAGAACGTGCACCCCCAGCAACAGACTGTAGTCCATGATCTTAAAACTCTCTAGCACCTGCACGAAATACAACACAGCGTTTAGCACACTGTGAATCTCACGCACAATATGACGAGCGCCATTGCTAATATCCTCCTGGTACCTTGCCTTGTTGGCCACTGTGCTGTTGCTGTTTTTCCTTTTGTCAAAATGGTAACCCTCATTCTGCAAAAGTCTTGTGAGATCTGTGTTTGCCAAGTTAATGTTTGGGGGGTTGTAGGGTTGCTACAGGACACCAAATAAACATAATAAAGATGTGTTTGGATGTTGCATGTCAGGCTTTTTGCAGAACAAGGGCTGCTAGAATCAGCCCTGCATTGTCAAAGTCTTGTACGATAAGCTTTTTGGGGTGGCATGTCAAGTTAAAAATGGCACTTATCAAGACCTCTATATTCTGTTCAATTTCACTGCGCTCCGTCTAGTTGTTTGTGAACACAAAAACATTTCCTGTGTGAACCAGAGTTAATTCAGTGTAACTGAGATACAAATATAGAATTAGTAATTTTGAATTAGTTTTTATTTTTATATTTTCTGTTTTCATTTTTATTTTAGTTGAAGTTTTAGTAACTTTGTTGTGAGTTTTTGTCATTACTTTTTTAAATATTTTTTATTTTATTTTTTATTTAAGTTTTAGTTATTGGGCAACTAGCTGAAATAATAAATATATATATATATATTAATGTTTTATTTCAGTTATATTTATATTCAGTTATAAGTTTATATTTATTTCATGTATTAAATTGAAATTAATTTAGAAATTAATTTTTGGTAAATCAAGCTAAAATATAGCTGCAAACAGCAATGACAGGCTCAAGCCCTGGCACTACCACCACTTCGGTGGTTTTCGAGAAACTGTGCACGGCGGGCAATACTGTACATTCAAAGCGGGTAAATATATATTTTTCTGTTAACTATAATAACTGTGAATACTCACTAACACAGCTCTAAGCTCGTCTACTTTGCGGCATTGCACATTATCCAAATACACAATTTTAGTAACAACAGATAAAACAGCAATGATAGAGGGAAAATGCCGGCACCTGTCAGTTTTCACAGATATCTAATTTAGTAGGTTTTATCCAGGGAGTCATGCATCAAATCTGATAGCAAGCATTAGAGTGCAATTTAGTGAAAAATAAAAATGATCAAAAAGCTCTTCGAAATGAAAACCTGAATGAACTAACTTTAAGATTAAACTCTGGGGAAAGTCTGTACAGTATCTTCAGAAATGAGTCAGAGGAAAAGTGATTAGTTTATCAGTGGTAAGATACTACTGTAACTACTATAAACAGACTGAAAATTTCAGCATTAGTCATCGATAGGCCGCCAAACAAAAGATCTCAGCTTATATGAATGGAAACAAACCGCAGAGACCCATGTGCACTTACAGTAAGGCTGTTAGTGTATAATACTATGTCGTATACATTAAATACTTCAGGTTTTTTACTTCTGGCTTTAAATGAAACAATATCAAACAAGCAGGTAAAATCCGCAGCAGTGAACCAATAAATGGTTTACATGATTTCACTTTTGCATGACACTCTCGTATCCCCCATATTCAAATGGATTATTTGAATAGGGACACACAACATCCTTGTTTTGCATCCCGTCAAGAACGTCTAAAAGCCTCCAAATGGGCCCTCATCTAGGTCACGGCAATACCCAAAAAAGGCCGCAGTGGAAGCACCTCTTGTTTGGCACATGGAGTCATTGGGTCAAAGAAAGGAATTTACATTTACATTATTTTTTGGGTGGGGTAACAGTTTAACAATTTGCTGAGAGGAGGAGTCTAAATAAATACCCCTTTTTACGAAATCGTGAGCGTGAGCAGCACAAACAACATGGGTGGCAAAAGGCAACTGGTTTTACTACATATTTCCATAGTGAAAGACACTCTTTAAGATGAAGCTTACTTTCTTAAACATTTTTCAGGCCTTAAAGATTTTTAATTGAACATGAAAATAAATTACACATTTTTAGGGCTCATATCATAGTATTTTTCACCTAAGGATCCACTTTTAGTCAAAAACACATTCTCACGAGGCTTAAGACTGAATACATGTTGTTGATGTGTAACTGTAAATGATCACGAACTCAAATGTATTCATTTGTCTGAAGTCAAAAGGTTGCAGAAGTTCGAAATGAACAGGTTTTGCCTTTTTGAACTGGGGAGGAAGCTCTGAAAATAACAGTACGCTTTCATAGAACATCAAGCTCTTTTGATTCCATGATCTGACTCCTTAACAAAATAATAAAAAGTACAAACATGCGTTCAATACCAAATACAAAACTAAGGGAACAGATGTGAACGGTTGGGATTATGTGAAAGCTCTCCTGTTTTGAGATACTTGTTATGTTTAATTTTCAACAAAAAAAACCCCCTAAAAACCTGGGCTTCGTGCCGGCAGTCCACAATGACGTGCTGTTATACCACTATCAAGACCGCCTGTTTTGCTTCTTGGTGTGCTGCCATCGGTCGAGTCAGCTGAAATGAGAATGTAGATTCTCTTTACAGTCATTGGTCATTCATTAACATCAGTTCAACGAAAAATTTGTCACTTGAGTTCATATTGTATGTAAACATGAGGTACTGTGACCACATGACCCAACTATTTTTTTTCTCTCATTAAGTTTTAACTTACATAATGAGTGTTTGAGCATAAGAAACGTGACATTTAAAAAATAAAAATGTATTTATATTTTATTGTATGAATAAAGTTATCCATTTTCAAATTCCGTGCTAATCTTTGTCTATAAAATTTCCCATGCAACGCCAATATAGTTAAATGGGATTTTTTTTTAAATGGTGCTGTTTAATGATGCTACATTAGCAGTGCCTGTTTAATAGCCGTTTCATGAACATTTTTCAAGAATTAGGCACAGAAATCTTCCACTAAACATTCATGAACCAAACTTTTCACAAAGGTTCTATGTAATAAAGTAAACACACACACACACACACACGTTCCCAGTTATCGTTAGTTTCCCTGGTTGTTAATTAGTTCCTACACCTGTTCTGTTTCATGTTGATTACTCTCCCTGTGTTAAGCCCTCAGTTCATTGTTCAATGTTTAAGTGTAGTAGCTTTGTTTTTTCTCCTGTATGTTCTTCAGAGTTGTTAAAGATTGTTCGCTCGAATCTCTTGTGCCATGTGTTTTATAAAGCCACACAGTAAAACAAGTTTTTTTTTTTTTTTTTTTTTTACTTTTCATAGTACATAAACTGAACGTTTGCTTGAGGGCCCGGGGTGACTAATATTAACAGAGCATTTGTTCATGCAAGATTAAAATCAAACCTAAATATCAGTGTAGTTCTTTATGGGCTGCGCTGTCTGTTTGATGACGAGTTGCAGAAACCATTTAAAGGCTTGTTCTTGATTCTTATAGATTTGGCTGTATTGTGCTCTGCAGTCGAGGCCCAGGGTGTGTTGCTTACTCAGGAGAAACTTTCTGCTTAGTGTTCATTTTAGTTTCTGCACAGGACGTAAGGAAAAGCTAACAATAAAATCTTACAGTACTCATGGGAATGTGTTTGAACTGCACTTTGTTTCCTTGCATAAAGAAAATTTCTTCTTATATAGTATAGTGTTAAAAGGATGACATAGAAAAATAAATCAGTTTGAAGAATTTCAATCCATAAAAGACTAAATGTTTCTCAAAGGCTGAAGTTAGATCACAGGTGGGCTGGTCCGAATGTCCCCAACTATGGTCATTACTGTGTGGAACTCGAGTTCTCATTTTTCCCTCGGCCCTCTTGTGACTCGCATTACGGCTGATCCTTTTAGTTCAACGCTCACTGGGGCCGGCCGCCGGTCAGTACATAATATGCCAAAAACTGTTATATAGGGAACATTCAGTCTCTGAGAATTTTCAACAACAGGTCATGTCTGGAATGCCATCGCCATGGCACTGTTGTGAGGCTTGTTTGTTGGTAAACAAATGACCAGTAAGAAACTAAGCTTGGTCGAACACCAGGTCTGCTGAAGAATTTGAGAAGCACAAGGCGGTTACCTAATGCATTTGGGACACTTCAACATCATGCCACAATCATTTGAGTAATTTAGTTATTGCAACTTGGCTTTGGGGGAACTTAGGCTAAAAAGTAAAAGAAAACATGTCAGAGTTTGCATTTGTCCTTGAAAGATACTGAAGTGCACAAATAGGACACAAAAATGACAAATTAGCTTATTTTAATTGTTTTTTTTCTGGACAGCAATGTGAAAGGAGAATAAAAAAAGAAAAGAAAAGCAAATTAAGACTTTAAAGGATTTTTGAAAAATGAGAAAACAGTTCCTTTTTTCGTTTTTCAGGGCTCTAGAGTGCGACCAATTTGGTCGCACATGCGACCAAAATTTGTAAGGGTGCGACAAGAATTTTTCCTAGGTCGCACCAGTGCACCTAATGCCGAGTTCAGACTGCACGATTTTAGCCCCGATTTTGGCTCGCCGACAGGTTTTGAGAAATCGCCGACAAATGCCCGAAATCACAGGCAAATCGGTGCTCGTTCACGCGAATGACAATCACGCAGTGTGAATGAGCAAAGACGCGATCTGAGAGAATCGCCGACGAGTCGCCGACGCCCGTGAGATATTTGGCATGCTAAATATCTGGACCTGTCGGCGATTCACAATCCTGCTGTGTGAATGTGTTCTGACTGAAAACTACATCGGCGATGACCGACAGCCAATGAGAGAGCAAGATACAGGGATGAGGTGGAGGAGTTATAGACCAGAATATCAGTATTTTAATAGATAGGCCTATATTTACAATTATATCAAACAAAAACAAAGCACAAACATTTGCATGACCAGCAGCAACAGCAGGACATTTGCAAAATTATTTATTTACCCCCAACTCTCTTTGCAAAACACAGTTCTTGCTCCCCTCTTCTTCCCAACCATTTCCAGCATAAACTGTTTATTTTTATTTTTCGTTTTCGCTACAAATCAGTGCACATACAATTTGTAGACTATCATTTTTAATAACAAATTCAGTGTCGCGCGAGAACTCCGGTCTCAC